GGGGTGAGTTGTCAGACGCCTAGGCCATATCCCCTTAGTCTGGCCTTTATTGTGTTGTGTAAAGGGAAGCGGAGCCCGGCAAGGAAGGCCGCTTCATAGCACCCAAACCAGCTGTCCGCATGGGGTTGGTCATCCTCCCATACAACCGTTCCAAACTCCGCCGATATTGACAGTTTATAACCCCCTCCTAGCGGCCGCTTGGTGACAAAGTTCGTCAGGGAGGACCGCATGAGGGCCCTGTCCTTAGTAGACACGGCAATCATGAGAGGGTCGTTTCTACTTTGCCAAGTAGGCCTCTCCGCCTCCTCGCTATCTTCAGACGAGGTCAGGTAGCTAGTGCTACTGCTTTCAATACGACTGGCATCAGAGCCGGATGGGGATTTGGGATCCTCGTTGACGGATCCTGGCAGCTCAGCCTCCTGAGCAGAGGAAGACTCTTCGGTGAAGGAGCCTAAAATGCTATCGCTTGGGGTGGCGGGTATGCCCCCAGGTGAGTCTCTAGCCACCTCGTCCGAGGCTCGTCTCTCAGGCGACAACTCGTTTGAGTTCCCGCCTCTATAATTGGGGTCCATAGTTGTTCCCCTAATCCTGGCCATCGTGTCCTGCACAGACACGGAGTCAGTTGATATAGGCGTTGAAAAGGGGAAATTCCAAAGATCAGAGGCGGCAGATCCAGTTCTAGACTCAGCCGTACTAATTGACCGGCTGAGTTCACAACTATGTTCCGGGTATGGGTATAAAGGGTCCATCTACTTATGGGGCTAATAAATAAAAGCACAAGCAAAAGACGCAAACAGAAATACATGGAAAAGCTAGAAGGAATAGAGACGGTACCTAAAGAAAGTGAGAACTTGTTGAAACCTCAAGAAATTTCTTGGGGATGCTTGCAAAGATACAGACGGTCTGAAAACCGGCTGAGTTCCCTTGGGTACCCTCACGAAAATCCTTTGCTTGCTCGCAACAACACAAGCGGTCTGAAAACTGGCTGCTCTCAACTATCAAATTTCCGTCTGCTCTCAACTCTGAAAACCGGATGCTCTCAAAATCAAGAAATTTCGCGAAGTTTGTAAATGAGAGCTTAAGGGCGCCTTCTCCTATTTATAGGATTTTGTCCCAGAAGGCGAAGAGTCGCGACTCTTCCCCTTCTGCTTTTCCCTCCTCTTCCTTCAGTTAGAATCTGAAGAGGTTTCAAAAAAAAAAAAACCGTCAGCACTCTTCACAGGCGCCACGTGGCACCTTGCCACGTCAGCACCTGTGAGGGGCAAATGTTTGGGGTAAAAATACCCCAGACACGTGGCCCAATGGTCAAGCGACACGTGGCACCCAGCCATTGGTCAGCAGGGCTCCAATCCCTTACTGACACGTGTCCAGTGAACCCTAAATGGGGAACCAAGGCTCCCCACTATAAATAGTGGAGAGACCCTCATTAATGGGGCATTCAATTTCATCCATAAATACATACACCAATCCCGAGCAATATTAATTGCAGAATTCTCCCATTTCGCGAGAAGTAATTTCACTATTTACGCACACTTTTCCTCCTGTACGTTACTGACTTGATTGTCGGAGGCGGAGCTCCAACCAACCGGAGACTTCGTGGTTTTGCAGGTACAAGCGTTGAAGGGCATTATCGGAATTGTAACTCTCCCGCAGGACATATCAAAAAACCCCGAAACACCAAGGATATGGCAGAACAAAGGGTACCATTTGCTGCATTCACTTGCCATGTATAAATTGGACTGTTAGTTGTTTGTTTAGACTATTCTTATGCATTATGTGCCATTTAATTCATAAAAAGTAGGCCTTAAGGTGATAGAGGTTCATATGAACTAACATATGGTGAATCTAATTTCTAATGACATTGTTAGTATTTTGTGGTAGGTCTTTTACTACTAGAAAACTACCTAACTTAGTCTAATTGTTCAGTTTTTTGTTGTCTTTCTGGTTTGACAATTTGTGCTTCAGAGTTCAGTTTTTAGATGTAGAACTTGTCACTACTAGAAAACAGTCAATCAACGACGGAAAAAATCTGTCGAAAAACCCTGAAATTCCGTCGGAAATGGCCATTTCCGACGGAATTCCGTCGGAAAGCGTTGTCGGAAGACCCTTTGTAGGTATTTTGCGATATTCCGTCGGAAAGGTCTATTCCGACGGATTTTGTTCTGTCGGCGCTTTTATTGACTTTCAGTGTAAATCCGTCGCAAGGTTCCGACGGAAAGTTCCGTTGGAGTTGGAAAGATTTCCGACGGAATTTTCCGTCGGACGAGGTATATTCCGACGGAAAATTCCGTCGGAAAAGTTTAAAAAAAATTAAAAAAAAAAAAACAGCCCTACCCTGCCAGAAAAACCCCCCACCCACACCCACCCTGACCACCCCCACCCACACCCACCCCACCTGCCGCCCAGCCACCACCCAGACCCCTGCCCCCATACACATCCCCTCCCCCCCACGCACCCATACCCCGTGCCGCCCAGCCACCACCCATACCCCCTGCCCCCATACCCATCCCCTGCCCCCCCCCAACGCACCCCACCCTCTGCCGCCCAACCATCCCCTGCCCCCCTTACCCATCCCTTGCCCCCTGCCGCCCAGCCATCCCCCACCAAATACACCACCCACCACACGCACCCACCAACTCTGTAACCACCCAAGGCACCCAAACCACTACCGTACCACCCAAAAAAATCAAAAAATTCCCACAAAAACCCGGATCTACCCACCACGCAACCTCCAACATCGAAACTCCAATATCCACTACCACCACCATATTTTTTCAAAAAAAAAAAAACCCGAAAAGAACAACAAATTAATTAAAAAAAAAACAATATACATACCTTAATTCGATCACAAAAAGCCTCGAATATGGGTTTACGAGGTCAAATTCAACCATGAAAACTCTAGATCTAGAGTTTTCATGGTCGAATTTGACTTGAAAACCTTGTGTTCTTGATGTTGTTGATGTTGATGGCGAAAATGACGGAGTTGTTGATGGCGTTGGTGGTGTTGTTTACACCGACGTTGGTGGTTAGTGAAGAAGAACAAGAGGAGAAGAGGAGGGAGAAGGAGAACGAGAGGGAGAACGAAAGGGGAAGGCGTAGAGGAAGAGAAGAAGGATGGAGAAGGAGAGGAAGAGAAGAAGGAGAAGGAGAAGGAGAAGGCGAGTGTCAGGAAGAAGGAGGAGGAAATTAAAGAGAAAAATGAAAATGTGAATGAGAAAGAAGGGGGGGGGGGCGGCTGGTAAATGGTGAGGGTTTTAGGGTTTTTTTTTTTAATTTTAATTTAATTATACTCAGACGGAATATTCCGTCGGAACATTAAGGGTTTAGGGTTTCGTTTTTTTTTTTATTTATTTAAAAAAACAACAAAATTCCGTCGAAAAAGGGTTAAATTCCGTCGGAAATTTCCGACGGATTTTTAATCTGTCGTAATTTTCCGACGGATATAAAATCCGTAGGAAATTTATATGTTCCGACGGATTAAATTTCCCTCGGAATTTAAAGCTTCCGACGGAAATTTCCGTCACAAGGTATTTTCCGAGGAAATATTCCGTCGGAAGAAGTAAATTCCGAGGGGAAAAAAATCCGTCAGAATATTTTCGAGGGATTTTCCTTCGCAACCTATCTTTTCCGACGGACTGTTCTGACAGACCCAAATTCCGTCGGAAATTTGGAATTTTCCGACGGAAATTAATTCCGTCGGAACGATTCCCTCGGAAAACGGCCTATTTCTAGTAGTGTGTATTGGATGCATTTAACTTTGCCACTAGTAGAACTAATTATCCTTAAGAGATCATGGGTGTCTGATAATTTTGTGTTGAGCATTATTTGACAAAATGTGGATACGAGCTATTTTAATACTAGTGAAATGGAAGAATCTGCATGTAATTTATTGTTTGATAGCATAGTATACTCAGGCGGTCAGGCCGTTACAGAGACAGAATCATAGGGGAGATGGTAGCTATCTATACAAAGCTGAATTTCCACAAGTCCTTATTTTCAGTTGCATGATACTGGAATTTACCTCTTTCTATCATATTAAGTCATCCTTGTCTATGATAAGCATACATCAACTACTACTTCAACCTCTAGTTTTAACGGGAATAATTTCGGCTTAGATATGTCAAAATAGTTTGTTGATGTCTTAGCTGTCTATGAGTTGCCATATGTTATTTGGTCCTAAGACTTACTATCTTCACATGTTTGGTATTTCTACTTTCCTGTCATAACACCATTTTTGCTCTTGCATTAATTTTAGAATACTATGCTTGTTTTGCAAGAGCAAATTAAAATTTTGGGTGTAGGAAATGAAAGAATATATTGCTTTTGGAAAATTATTGTTAGTGTAATTTAATTCCCACATTATACTCTGCCATTAAAATGATATTTTTTTTTTTTGGGTGGGGTGGGGTGGGGGGAGGGTCTATTCCTGAATTCCTACATTTTTTGTGTTTTCTTTATGAATTTATCTATACCCTTTAGCTTAATCTTGTTAATTTTTTATATTATCATAAAAAAATGATCCTTTCATTGTTTCAACATCACACCATAATTTGATTTAGGTGCCTTACCAAAATTTTATATCTAGGGTAGCACAGTAGTAGGGTGCCCTTAATCTTAAGAGTTATTGGGGTTAAAGTTTGTTGATTGACACTATAGAGCACAATCATGTAAAAGGGTCATACCTTGACATACATTATTGACGATGTTGTTTATATTCCTAGGAAGTAAACGAATAGTATTGCTCCCAAGAAATAAACTCTATAATTCGATTTGGTGCGTGCTTTTATAATATTTGGTAAATGTGAACAAATTGTTTATAATTCAGTAAGGACAGAAATATGTTTGATAGTATTGCGAAGGAGACCAAAAATGATTGGTGGGATGGAGAAAGAAATACTGAAGTATTATATGAATTATACAGATTACTTGAAATTGAAGTGTGAGTAATATTTTAAGACATCCTGTAAAGGTCTAAAGGATAGTGTGAAGTATATGTGAGGATGGATATTGCATACTGGAATGTGTATCAGTTTGACGGCACATCTACTTCATATGAACTTGGTTGTTTGGTGAGAGCATTACAGTGTGTAAGTGTGTTTGGGTAACAATGGTAGAGGCCTAGAGGGTAAGGAAGGGTAGGGAGAAGTGAATTTGTGTTATTTCTCAAAATCAAAAGAATTTGGTTTAAAGTGTTGGACCTTTTGGTTCTCTCTGCTTTTCTTTTACCAAATGGTATCTAAGTAAAGGAAAATGGTGTTAACACCTTCTTTCTCCTTTCTCAAACCCTACTATCTAGATACAATTTTATTGTTAGCTAGCTATTCATGGAAGTTCCTCTCTGAGATCTCTTTGTAGTTAAATAGCTGAAATCTTGTATCTTTGTCATATTCTCAACTGTAGGTGTGTCATCTTGTCATTTTTGTTGATTGAACACATTGGTATGTACCTTTTTGAAATTACCTTGAGTACCTTGACTGTGAATATCCAGTCACCCTTGTTATGATGACTTCCGAGATGGTTATTATGATATTCTCATTGAGATATTCAATTAAGGCAACTATAAGAGGAAAGGCCTTGCTGGAAAAAATACCCCTTATTCGAAGAGCCTTGCCAAAAGGAGGATTATATGATTTATACCTGTACAAAATAAGGAGCACTTGGCTTCTGTCATACACTCATACCCAAAGCCATCTCCTTTTGGAAATCCAAATTAATAAATTTGCTCTTATCTACAGCATCATTTAGATAACATTGTCTTACAATTCTACATCATTCTTGCAGGAAACACTTTCATCTGAAATGGCAGATAGGTGTGAACATACTTCTATGTTCCCAGATTTGCATTGGTTGTATCACTCTCCTAGATCTCCTCACATTCTTGGCAGCACCATTGTAGCTCAAAATTTATTCAGAGATCCCGCCCTGTTGGTACATAGATATTCGTTACAACCATCCCTAAACATATCTTCCTCTTCTGTGATTACTCCAAAGAAGCAAGTACACCCAAGGGAACAAAATCCTAGGTCGTATGCCATCCTGCAAGGAATGTCTCAGGTTATTTCAGCCTCAGTTGTGGCTCCTATTGAACAGGTCTATAGCCTGATGCAATGTCAGAATGAGATGCTAAAATATGGTCATCTTTCGACTCCTTACAAAGGAATGATGGGTTGCTTTAGCAGAACAATAAAAAATGAAGGTGTCCTTTCTCTTTGGCGGGGTAACAGTATGAATGTGATCACACCCTTGACAATTGAGGTGATTCTCCAATTCTCACCATCTATTTTTTGCTGAACAGGCACAGCAGCGCAGCAGAACAGAAATAGCAGCACAGCAAACAACAGAGCAGCAAGTTAGCCTGAACACACAACAACACATCAGCCAGCAGAGCAGCCACTAGCACAAGGCAGCCTGAACAGAAGCAAAACGAATCACCCAGGCAGCTTGAACAGAGCAGAAACACAGCGACAGAAGCAGAACAGCCACAGCCATCAGAGCAGAAACACAGCCACAGCCAGCAGAGCAGCCACCAGCACAAGACCAGGACAGCTAGTTATATGAAATGCAAGAAAGGTCGATCAAAGATAAGTCTAGATTATTTAATTTTTTTTTGGACGAAAATTGTAATATTACAGCCTTTTTTAATGAAAATATGTAACTTTATATATATGTTAATGTTTCTATATCAATTTAAGTGAAAAAACTGCAAAATTTTTTATTTTTTATTTTTTTGGGGTATTTTTGGCACCGGTTTGTACCAGAACCGGTGCCAAAAGTTTTTTTAAATTTTTTTTAGACTTTTGGCACCGGTTCAAAGCAAGAATCGGTGACTAAAGTGGGGTTTTTTGCACCGGTTCTTGCTTTGAACCGGTGCCAATAGTATTGAAAATAAAAAAAAAATCGCGCCATGGTAGTTGGCACCGGTTTAAAGCATGTAGTTGGCACCCGTTAACCGGTGCCAAATCATGTAGTTAGCACCGGTTCACCGGTGCTAAATGCTTTAGTTAACACCGGTTTTGAACCGGTGCCAAATTTTCATGGATTTGGCATCCCTCAAATCCCCTACGGTTCAAAATCGGTGCCAAAGGGGGGTTTAAACCGGTGCCTTTTTACCTTTTTTGTCTAGTGTTGTTTATTTATGAGTACTCATGACAATGGTTTCTATTTATAGCTATTATTAATAAAGAAAGAGTTTGAGTTTCCGTTGCGAAGTATTGGTTTTGGTTAGTAGTTTTGGTAGCCTTGCGTAATCACGCGGCGGTAATACGCCTAAGTCTATCTCTGCGGTATAATTATACGTATTATACTAGTATTTTCATAGAGGGAGATTTGAGGGTGTTACATTGGTTATGGAAACAAATAAAAAAAATACATTATCATCTAGCAACAATAGTTTAGGCGACTTGTTTCTAATGGCAACAATTCAAAAATTCATTGCCTTTGTTTGTTTCTAAATCAATACAAATAAAATATCAGTTGCCATAGTTTGTTGCTATATGGAAACAAGACAAAAATATGATGCCATATAGTAACAATTAGTAAGACAATAACACCAACAAATCAAAAACACGTAGCTTATTAAAAAACTAAAGCATAAAATGTTGCTTTTAATTAGGCAATGAAAAAATTATTTTCGTTGCTATTTAGCAATGTTTTAAAAATCTATTGCCAAACTTAGTTGCTAAAAAGCTTTCATTTTTGTTGTGTTGTATGTATTAATTGACAATTTGTCCCTTGAGTAATAAAATGGCACACCTTTCCTAAAATTAAAAGGCTCACTTTCTTAATTAGCTTCTCGCTTGGCCAAGCTAATATAATTATATATTTTAGCTTCAATAGTTAGCTAAACACTTTTGGTCTTATAACAAGACCTTATCTACACAACCACTAAAACTGCTCTTATTTCTATTAAGTTGTCCCAATTAATGAGCAATTTCCCTATAAAATGTTGATAGACGACTAAGTTATTGAAATATGTTAATTTAACCAATATTTCCCTACATATTGTCTACATTTGCATATTTCATAAGTCATTTTTTTACACGAGTTAGCTAATGGGTAAATTTGTGCCAATGTGAAATACTCATAATATGAACATTTTAAAATTTTATAAATATATAATTAAGGTCATTAATTGGCCAAAGTAATATAGTGACATACTCGAAAATCAAAATGTTGCAAATTAAATAAAAATAAATAAAGTCAAGGACCAACTCCGTAGATTAAAAGTGATAAAATAGTATTTGAAAATATAAATCATCTACTAGCTCTTATTTCGTTTATACGCAGTATATAAGTTTTTCCACCGATAACGTGTCAAATGTTTTCTCGACTCGAGAAACTATAAATTAAGGTCTCAACACCAATAAAAAATCATTAAACTCACAAGTTTAAGTACAAGATCTGATTTGCAATTGAGCCCTGATCTCTTCACCTTAAATAAAAGATAGTAAGTAAAATAAGTTAAGTTAGTAAAAATATGTTAAGCTTAGTAAAAACAAGTTAATTTTAGCAAAATTAAGTTAAGTTCAATAAAATTAAATCTTATTCTAGATTCTAGAAGTTCATAGAAAAAATATAATGACAAATTAATAAAAATAAATTTAATTATTAAAAAACTAATTTAATATTAATAAAAATAACTTAAATTTCAACAAAATTACAGTAAATTGAATTACAGAGTAGACCTCTCCTCTTCTCTTCTAGGGTTTTTTAAAAATTCTTAGTCGTTTAGGCCGAAAGTAGTCTAAGTTCTTCCCTTTTCTTTAGTTTTGCTCTTTAAGTTTTAATAAATCTACACGAGTAGTGTAGATATTTGTCCGTCTTCCTATGGTGGAGTAGTTAGTTTTTATTGGTTTAGTTGTTTGTTTATGTTTAGTTTTTTTTTTATTTTTTTTTTTTTTTTTTTTTTTTTTTTTTTTTATGTGTTAGGGTTTACTAAAAAGGAAATCATCTTTTGCCCTATTATCAGCTCGTTAGTGAAGATTTGTTCGAAATCGCGATGGTTGTCAAGTTTTCAAATATGTTCACGTGAATCAGATGAAAATCATCCTTACGACTACAACAAATTGTTAGAGGGTCTCTCTGAAAATGCTGTATATTCTAGCGATGTGTGCGAGAGATGTATCACAGTGCAAGATCTATTCAATGATTGTAGCTTTGATGAAAAAACCCTTATTTGATTCAATCTAATATTATATAACTAATATATAAAGCTAAACTTTTAGCCAGGTTACGAGACAGTGACACTTGGCGTTTCAACTTTTCACCAAGTGTCGCGCCACGTAGGCAAATATTAATAATTATTTGACATGTAAGATAAAAAAGTTTGATAGATTTTTAAGATAAGAAAGTTAGTCAAGAGTTTTATTTTCGATAAAATTTGGATAGATTTTTAGAATAAAATGGTTGGTTTAAAGTTTTATTTTCGATAAAATTCATATACTTCATATGTTTAAATTAAATTATAAATTTTAATAAGTTTCTTATAAATTCATTAACTTCTCACCATTTCACACACGATAAATAAACATTAATGTGACACATTGATATGTATAATAGTCAACGAAGTATAATTTCAGACAAAATAAAATCAAAATAAGAAAAAAGGTAGGTTATCAAGCTAAAGATTATTGACAAATTGGCAATTATAGTGGAGGATATTGGAGTGCTTGACTACGAGAGATTTTAAGGCAAAAGGGAGGTTTCATGCACAAAGGGTTTATAATTTAAATGTAGTTTTTTTAGGCAAAGATGAGTATAATTTGTGAGTTGGGAGAAGCTACATACGTTGCAATTGTACTAATACTATAAAGTTCACCACCGATTGTTATATTTTACTTCATAATTATTTTTAAATAATTAGTGATTATTATTAAATTAAATCAAGATCCGCCAAAGTTTGAAGATTTTTGAGGGAAATTAGTCATACATATTTATTCCAAATTCATATCAATCTTCCACTTAGTACCATATGGGCAGTCGTATTACCCGCCTGTCAAAATGAGTATAATTAAAAACATTAAAGACAACATATTCTAGAAATATCATTCAATAACATGAAAATAGGTGCAACTCCAAACTGATCGATTTCTTTTAATTGCTGTGACCATGCTACTTGCGTCACTTTCAAGAGCGACTAGATAACCCAAAATCTTTCCCAAAACCACCCACAACTTTATAAGCGGTATTATTAATTTTTATTTTAAAAGTATGATTGTCAAGTGATTATTATTCCATGAGTAACAAAATTCGAATAACATAGATATTTTTTTTTCATAAAGAGCATATATTTCCATAATATACATTGCACTCTTACATATATCAATGGTATCGTACGTCAAAATACCCTAAATCTAATACATAACATTGTTTGTATTTATGATATGTTTTAAAATTAGCTATATAAATAAAAAAATATATTTTAAGATTCAATAAACAACTCGGGTATTGCACGGGTCACAAAACTAGTATATATAAAGGGGAGTTTTTTCCCGAGTTTTTGGAGAGCCACGTAGGATTAAATTTTCTTAACGCGCCATGTAGGATTATAAATTTTAGTTATAGCCAATTAAATAAGAGATTTTTAAATTTTTTTTGGAATTAAATAATTCAAATGTCACGTAAGCAAAATTAGAGAATGAGATTTTAAAGTTTAAATTAATTAAATGTACAATATTATCTTTTGAGATTAGGAATTTTATTAAACTATATAACGTATGAGAGGCAATTCACAATTTATTTTAAAATAAAAAAAATTAAAATTAAATGATATCCTGCATACAACGATGAAAAATAACAAATTTTATCATATAAATACAAAAAATATTTGATTTTAAAAAAAATAATACAAGTAAATCGTGCATCGCACGAGATTCATCTAGTTTTATGTATTTGTTAATTTAGATTTCATTTATAGATATCGTATAACTTTTTATTAATGAATTAAAAAATTACGCAACTAACACCTGGTTTAAAAAATAAATAAAAATCTAACACCAAATGTGGAATTGAACTACCAATCTTATTGAACCAACTCAAATGTTACCCAAAACTCCATAAGGCCCAACGTGATAACTATGCAAAAAGTGTTACTCGTAACAAAGATTAAGCCCAATGAAAAAGATAACGTCTATTAACTATTACTAAAACAAAACATGCTGGTGTCATCAATCCCTTAAAATGTCTTACGTGTCAAACTCTTATTAAAAGTTTTCCCTCCAAATTTACATATGATGTCATCATTTATTTGTTTATTTTTATTATTTTTGTCCTTTCCTTTTATATGCTAAAAA